GACGCGGGGCTCGAACTCACGGACCGCGAGATCGTGACCTGGCTGAAGTCGGACGCTTAACCGACTGCGCCACCCAGGCGCCCCACACCGATCTTCTTTTTAAGCGCTCCTTTATTTTACCTTAACACCATACCCTTGGGAAGAAATCACAGTGAAGAAACAGCATCGAGGGCATTAGTGACTGACCCAGGAGGGCACAGAGGCAGAGGTCAAGTTCAGGTGCAGGTCTCTTCTTTTTTCCAAAATACATAATCAGTATATAGAAAGAAACTGACACGATGGCTGGAATTTGCTTTAATATACTTCAGCAAAGGCGGGGGGGGGTGGTGGAGGATAAATAAAATAAATGTAAAAACCATGACAGTTGCTGCATAAATGATGGGTATGTATATGGGAGTTCACTATTCCCTCTACTTTGAAATGTTGCATATTAAAAAAATCTAAGACGAAGGACCCACCCAGGGGCAGGGAGGTATAATGCAGAAACTACATGAGGCGTGCAGGGAGGGTACCGGGAAAGGGAGACGGAGGGACAGGAGGAAAGAAGAGATGGTGCAGGAGGGGCTGGCAGGGATGACGACGTCCCACGGGGGGTGGCATTCTCCTCCAGGACCTGCTATCTTGATGGACAGGTCACCCCCACCCCAACAGCTCTCTTTCTGAGATTTCATTCCTCAGGACTCATTTCCAGACTCTTCCCTAGAAGGGGCTAATGGCATGAATCTCTTTTTCTGGAACTTTTATTTATTTTTAAAGTTTATTTATTTTGAGAGAGAGAGAGAGAGTGTGTGTGTGTGTGTGAGAGAGAGAGTGTGCACATGCACATGCCTGTTCCAGTGGGGAGGGGGAGGGAGAGAGGGAGAGAGAGAATCCCAAGCAGGCTCCGTGCTCAGCACGGATCCCAGCATGAGGCTCAGACTCAAAAACCTTGAGATCATGACCCAAGCTAAAGTCAAGAGTCGGACGCTCGACTGACTGAGCCACCCAGGTGCCCCTCTTTCTCTGGAACTTTCAGAACTAGAACATTTTGTCCAATTGAGTTGGGGAAGACACCACGCTGCCCCACAGAGGGACAGCCTCACAGACCTCCCAAAGGCCTTCCCTGGCCCTGACCTGACGGGAGAGGAAGAAGCTCTAAGGTACAAGGGACACTCGGACTCTGACCCTCATCTGAGGTAAATGATGGAATGTGACAATTTGTTCACAGAAATTTGTAGAGACTTCAAGATTTTGAGCAAATTTCCTGCAAGACAAGACTTTCACACCCACAGAGAGGGCACCCTGATACTGGGGAAGATACAAACCTACAGCTGTCATTCGCAAACCCTCTATGTTATGGACTGAACACATCCTCCAAAATTGCTGGGCTAAAGCCCTAACCCCAGTGTGACTATATGTGGAGATGGGATCTTGGGAGGTAAATGAGGTTAAAGGAGGTCACAAAGCGGGGTGCCTGGGTGGCTCAGTCGGTTAAGCATCTGGCTCTTGATTTTGGCTCAGATCATGATCTCACGGTTCGTGGGACAGAGCCCTGCACTGGGCTCTGAGCTAACAGTGCAGAGCCTGCATGGGATTCTCTCTCTCAATCTCTCTCTCTCTCTCTCTCTGCCCCTCCCACTTGCGCGCTCTCTCTCTCTCAAATAAATAAATAAATAAACATTAAAAAGTTAGAGGAGGTCATAGGGTGGGGCCCTCATCCAGTAAAGGCTGGTATTCTAAGTAGAGGAAGAGACACCAGAGTCTTCTCTCTCTCTCTCTCTCTCTCTCTCTCTCTCTCTCTCTCTCTCTCTCCCTTTCTCCCTTTCAAAAGCTCATGCGCAGAGAAAAGGCCATGTGAGAACCCAGCAAGAAGGCAGCCGTCTGCTAGCCAGGAAGGCAGTTCTCACCAGAAATTGCATCTGCTGGCACCTTGATCTTGGACTTCCAGCCGCTAGAACTGTGACAAAATAGATGTCTGTTGTTTAAACCACCAAGTCTGTGGTATTTTGTTACGGCAGCCCAAACTGACTAATCCTTCCCCTCAGAGAGAGGAGAGCCAAGAGTGCACTGCAGCTCTGTCTGACCCAGTAAGTAGACATGTCTGCCTCAAGCACCTCTGACTGCCTAGCATCCCCAAAGGTACAGGGTTCCTCCCCCTTCCCCACCCCACACACGCCTTGACCTCCTTGCAGGAGGCAAGAAAAGCGCACAGAGTTAGCGTGTCCAGGGAAGACAAGGAATCGTTACCAGTGAGAGGCCCCCACCCTCTCCTCCTCCGCCCCCTTCCTGGGCTCCTCAACAAGGCAGTGATGGAAACAATCGCCCCATGGCCAAAGCCGGTGAGCCCTCCTCTCCTCTCTCACAGGCCCTTGACAGCCAGCCCCCCAGAGAGGACACTTCCTTAAGCCCTCACACCTGCCACTCCCCAACTGAATAAATATTTGCATGTGCTAGACACTGTACTTCTTTTTATTCGGGTGACAAATTTTTGTTAATGTCCACTTGGCTGAGTGGCAGGGATGGACATGTAGCTCCTGACTTTGAAGAGGCCGGAAACCCACACATAGGAAAGAGGACAGTATCTCCATTCAGAAGACAGGTATAAATCCCAATCCCTTAAGAAAGGGCTAAACCAGCCCTGACTAGCACCGTGACTTTGGGTGGTCACCTCGCCTGCCTGGGCATCCATTCATGCCACTAAAAATAAGAATTGGATATGGCAGCTAACGTTCTTGCAACCTCTGACATTTCAGAAACCTACATAGTGAAGCACAGAAAACGATCTAAATGAAGTCTTGCCAGGTAAGACAGCTTGAGAGGCCAGAAATGTGCTGGATAAAGACCCAGAGTGGCTCTCCAGCACAGGAAGACCCTGGACCCAGCCATGGCTACCAACTCTTTTGTGGGCAAGGACACAGCCACTGAAGGAATCAGAGCAGGCTCATCTCCCTTGGGAGCCCTGGCCACCACACCCCTTGGCAGGTCTGAGCTACAAAGCACCCGGGGCCCCAGGAGCTGAGACCCACCCTGGCCGCTCATCCTGAGACGGCAAATGGCACATGTTCACCCAAGGATCCCACGTCACCACCATCCCAGGTTCCCCAGAGAGGGCTCTGCATCTCCCTAGCCCCATGATGATTCCTCTCATCACATCAGAGGCGCCAGTTCTGACCCCAAGCACACCGGCCCCTTCCCTCCACATGCCACAGGCCAGGGAGCCACGGCCCACCCACCTCCCTTTGAATGGCAGCACTATTCCTTTACCCTGGCTCATCTTCCATGCCTCCTCTTCCTCGCTTGCCAAATCTTCAATTGCCCAGAGAAATGTGTCTCCCTTCACCCTTTCTTCCCACTTCCACTGTGCTCCCCACTCGCCTCCCAGACCTGCTTCAGCCTCTTTCCAGGGCTACATTCTCCCCAAACCACAAACTCTCCCTGTCCAACTCCCCTCTAAAGTACAGCCTGAACCATGCACTCTTGGCCTCAAAAGATCTCCTCTTACAGCGATATTACACAGACCTCCACCGCCAGCATCTGAGGCCGTAATGGGTTACATTTTCTGCCTTCTCTCCCACCTGCCCCAGGGAGGACTCTGCACTTGGATCACCAGGAAGACTCCGTGTGCCCAGACACACCCTGCACATTCCCGCTTCCAGGACTTTGCTTCTGCATTTCCCCCTGCAGCAATGTCGGGGCTCCAGAGCCGCCTTCATGAAGGCCCCATGGGCTCACCCCACCCTGACATCCCCAACTTTTCCTCCTCCCCAGGCCCTCTCCCCACTCCTGACTCTCAACCTGCACTTCTCCATGCTCCTTTATTTTATTCTCCTTAGATTTGTGTGCTTGCCTTAGACACTACCCACCCCTCCATCCTGCACAAATGACAAGCTCCCAGTGGTGAGGCCAGCACCTTCCTCATCGCTGGATCCCCACACCCTGCAGACAGAGGCACTTAAGACCTATCTGTTCCCTCAAGTGACACTGAACAACCCGTTCTCTGAAGGGAGAAGACAGGGGCGGGCTGCCAAGGTGGGCCGTGGAGGGCCTTGGCGCTGGCTGCTGCATCGGAAGCCGGCATCACCCACTCCGGGGACAGGTCTCCTCTGTCCAGTGCAGCTTGATTGTACGTTTATGAGTCATGGTCACGAGGCCCACAGCAGCTTAATGAGGGACATTCTTTATACACACACTCACACACACGCACAGACATACAGATACATCCCAGACAGGCAAGCCATTTCCCGCCTAGAGAACAGATTTAAGTCTCCAGGAGACAGGCGGGGAGAGGGGCAGAGATGTTCAGGCCCAAATCTTACCTTGGCTTGCCCTCTCTGGGGATTTATGACCTCCCTTCTCCATTTCCTCTTGCCTGGAGCAGGGGTGAGGTGGGGAGTGCTCTAAGAAGCAGAGGAGAGAGGCAGGAAGACAGGGTGGGAAGTGAGGGGTGGGCTATTTGTGTCTCAGGCCCTATAAATGTTTCCAACTCTGTTCACCTGCAGGCCAAGAGCCTGGGCCATCTGATACAGATTCCAGGTACTAGAGGCCAGCCAAACCTGTCTTCTCAGTGCCAACCCCATTCTTCTCCCCTGAGGGTGGCAGGTAGCTCAGGGTGGCAGTGGGGGTCAATGGGCCATACCCTCCTCAGATCCTGCATTCGTTTCCTGGGGCTCTGCTCTAACAAAGCACCACAAACCGAGGGCTCAACAACAGAAATTACTGTCTCATAGTCCTGAGCCCAGAAGTCCAAAATCAAGGTGTCAGCCCAGGGTTCCTCTGCACTATGAGGGAGAATCTCTTCCAGGCCTCCCTCCTAGCTTCAGGTAACCGTGGGCATTCCTGGGCTTGTAGATGGCATTTTCTGTGTCTTCAGGCCATCTTCCTCCAATGAATGTCTATCTCTTGGTCCAAATTTCCCCCTTTTTTTTTTTTATAAGGAAACCAGTCATATTGGGTTAGGGTCCTCCCTAATGGCTTCATCTAACTTGACCTTATTTTCAAATAAGGTCATTGGTACTGAGTTAGAACTTCAACATCTTTTTTGGAAAATACAACTCAACATATAACAGAACCCACAGGTGGGAGCTGTTGAAGGTATTTTATTGTCCCTACTAAAATAATAATAACTATAAAAGAACTGACCCTCATGGGCTTACCATGTACCACATACTATCATTAGCATGGATAACACCACTATGAAGTTACTTCTATTATTTCTACTTTCTGATGAGAAAGCTGAGGCTCTGAGAGGTTAAGGAACTTACCCAAGACCTTACAGCTGATGCATGACAAAGCCAGAATTACCACCTAGGCAGTCCTTAGCTACTGCACTACAATAATCATATCCTGTGATGTGAGCATGTCACTATGACACCGACTCCTAAATCCAGGGCCTGGGTGTGGTCCACACTGGCCATTGGCCTGAACTATGGAAAGAGTTCCCACTGGGCAACTGCCCCCTGCTCTCAGACTCAAACTGCCACCCAAGAGTGGGCCCAAGTCTACAGTGGGCGATGTCTTGGTAGGGGGCGTTCTGAGTGGGCAAGTGGAGAGCAGCGGGCAGGGGGTGCACAGGACAGATGGAGCCTGCTGAGTCCCTTTGTAGGACCTCCTTACCTACTCTGGGATGGGCACAAGATCATACCACATCAAACCCAACTGCTATGCTATCGTGGAAGAGACTTATTGATTTGTCCAGAGGCTTTGTATTTAATGGGGGAAGACTGTGCGAGGGAGATGTGAGTATGAAAAACCTGAAAGCCGTTGCCTTCAAGCCCCATGGCCACCCCTCGTGCACTAACCACAGCTCTGGCCTGGAGCCAGGCCCTCAAATGTTGGCCTTCTCCATAATTATGTGTGCTTGTTGGTGTTGTTGCTGTTATTATTACTGTTGTAGTAATCATATTACTCGATGTTTCTTCCCTGGCCACTCCAGAGACAGCACAGACATTAGCTCATAATAATGCAGTCTTGCCTGGGAGGCAGAACTGTGTGCAGGCACGGGGACTGCCAGCTTCCTCCTGGGCAGAAAGGGGCCCTCAAAGGGTTCTGCTCAGCTCCTAATATGGCCATACTTTCTCCCCTTCTCTCAGCAAAGTGGCACCAAAGCTGAGACAAGATTTAGAGGAGTAGCTAAAGCAGCCGGAAGTTAAAACACACAAGACCAGGAAAAAACATTTAATTGACTGAACTCCTCCTCTCGGCCTATCTGTGGCATTTCCATGACCAGTGGGGAAGGTCAGAGTGCTTTACACAGATTAGTGCACAAATCCTGAGCCACGGCTGTGGAGTAGATAGCAACAGCCCCATGTGATCAGATGCGGACCCTGAGGGTCAGGCATTGTGGTCACTCTTCCAAAGTAACTTGTATACAGGTAGGTGGCAGAGGTGGGTTTCAAATCCAGAGCTGCCTGTCTGTAAAGCCCAAGCACCTGCCATTAAGCCACACAGCAACAGAGTCATAACTACAGGTCAAGGGCAGTGAGCTCAGCTCATGACTGGGGGAGCTGCAAACCCCCCTCTCCTGTAGCCCCTACCAGGACAACCAGACCATATGACAATGGTTTCCCTGCCAGACCCTCTGGCAGCAAGTTTGAACCCCTTCTCAATGAGCGCCCCCTTATGTTACTGAGAGCCCTTAGAAGCCATCGTACTCCAGAAGACTCCAAGGGCTGTGGCCATTCCAGGAGAGAGACAAGCAAGTAAATTAAGAGACAGTCCCTTCTCAAGTAGGGGAGAAAGATACAGACACACATAGATCACAGTATGACAGGAGCCTGGCATAATCTGGATGCACAGAGCAGAGAGGACCTCCCAAATGTCCCTCCCGGGGAGAAGCACCAGGGTTGAGTTCAAGGACACGGAGAGGACAGGACAGTTACCAGGGCTGCCCCAGCCTTGGGCTCAGGAGTAGATCATGTGAGGCAGCAGCTCAAGAGGGCACTTAGTCTTGCCCACCAGAGGCACCAGGCCAGCCCCCTCCCTGACTGCCCACCCATCCCACACCTGCACCCACCTCCCTCACTCACACCCTGAGCTCAGCACAAACACTTAGTGCTCAATTGCTATCATACTTGTGAAATCCTGGCCACCCCCTACCCTGCCTGTAAAACACATCCCTACCCCACCACCGAGGAGAAGGGAAAGCAGAGGGAAGCTTCTGTAAGGGGATGTAATTCTTGGCTCTGACTTCCTACAGAAAGGTGAGAAATTCCTCCTCGTCCAGCATCCCTGACTACAGCTGTGGAGCCTCCAGCATTCCATCCTCTTTCCAGATTTTCCAGGTACTAAGGACTGGGTACCTTTGTGTCCCACAACCAGAAACTGGGTCCTGAAGTGGGGAAGAAGAAGTCTGATTCCATCCTCAGGGAGCTCCCAGTCTGATGGGGATGCTAACATCTCCTGTCCTCAGGGAGTTCCCAATCTGGCGGGGACAGACTCAGCCCCTGACCTCAGGGAGCTTCTAGTCTGATAGGAGATGCATGGTCATTGTCCTCAGGAGCTCCTAGTCTTGATGGGGGAGATGCAGCCCGTGCCCTCAGCTCCCAGTCTGATGGAAGGGGCAAACCCCCTGCTCTTAGGGAGTTCCCTGATGCCATCCTGAGAAGGGCTGGCACTGGGTCCCAAGGCAGAAAAGCCCCCAGCTGGCAGTCCCTCTGCAGTAAGTATCCAGTCTGAGGAAGGCAGTGTCTTCTTGAGGCAGAGAAGGGCCCAGGGGAATGAGGAAATTAGATGCCACATGCCCTATGAAGGGAAGGGTGGGGCTGGCCAGCTGGGGGGGAGAAAACAGGGAGCTAGCCCAGGACTCGGGCCTGGTCACCATCACTTATGGGCCCTGATGTCCTCACTCCCTGCTGTGGCAGGAGCGTCATTCCCATTTCTCACAGGTGTAAGCCAAGGCCCAGGACAAGGCCCAGACAGACTCAGGCAGAAGGTCCCTGCTGTTCATTCTGTTCTCCCCCTGGCTCCCCCGGAGCCATGGAGGGAAACATGGCTGGGGCCCCAGGCTCAAAGCAGATAGGCTGGTCCCGAAACAAAGAGACTGGAAGCAAGGGTGGGGATTATTGCATGGTGCTCTAGGTGCCCTTGTACCACAGGCAGTGCCCTGCACCTAGGACAGGCTCACAGGTCTGTGTGGTTTGGGGCTCTGTTCTGCTGCTAGCAACCTGCTGTCAGAGGGATCAAATGGTAGACACCTGTGTGCACACCGCCCCTCAATTCCAGCCTATTCCTTCTGATGCACTTTGTTATCAGGAGGTGGGCCTGAGGACTGTTCATCTCACCAGCACAGCCCAGCATCGTCCCCACCAGGCCGCGAGCTCTCTGAAGGCAGGTGCCAAGTTTTCCTCCTCTGGAAGTTGGGGGCTTGGTGGAGCTGGACAGAGAAGTCCTAGCAAGGGGGCCTTTAGTCCTCCCAGGCCCCCTGCTTCTCTCTCTGGAAAGATGGTTCAGGCAAGACCCACAATCTTCTCCCACATGAGCCCTTCCTAGGACTGAACACCCCCGAAGGCGAGACAATAGGAACAGAGATGCTTTGGGGGGTGGAAGGCATTTCTGGGGAATGATGAGCTTAGGGAGGCCCCTGCCTCCCATCAGCCCTTCCTCTACCCCAACCCAGCGACCATCCTTTTGATCCTTTCCCCCTTCTGCACACCATGTTCCACCTGGTGGGTGCAGGTTAGCTTTTCCAGTGGGCTCTGGGTTGGAGGGCATGTGTACGTGCACGCACATGCATGTCTGTGTGTGTGTGCCCATCTGTCCTGGGGAGCAATAATAGTTAATAAATAAGTGAATGGCAAAAATAGCCTCAAAGGAGCTGACAGGCAGAAGGCCAGAGCAGCCGGGCATGGGGCCAGCACCCTGAAATGCCAAATGTTAATTTAGCCAAAAAGAAAAAAGGTCCATTTCAAGACCGCCTCCATTAGCCAGGGTCAGGGTCTGTTGTGGTTTCTGGTGCTGGCACAGCCCCTCCCCAGGCATCCTGAGTGCAGCCCAGGCACAGGGGGCCCCTTGCACAGTGTTAGGGTAGCAGGACTGGAGGGAAGGGGCCCAGTCTGGGGCACACGAGTCTATGAACAGGCAGGAAGCCGGCAGGCCACTTCCCAGCAGTCCTCCAACAGTCCACCCAGCTGGCCAGCCCTGCGTCGTCCCCCCCCCCCACCCCCCCTGCAAGGTCTAACCAGCTGGGGGAATGTTCTGGACTTCATCACCAATCTCTTGCCCAGGCGTGGGCCCTACCCCACCTGGACACTCACTTAGGGGCAAGGGATGTGATTCAATGTCCTGGCTGTCACTCGCCCTCAGGCCAGATCCCTCGAGTGTCTCATCTGGCTTCTCGCAGGCCTTCTCCCCAACAGTCCTCACCAGCCCAGAGCACTCTCCACGCTGAGGCCTCTGCTGGACCGTGGGCGGTTTTATTGTCCTTTGCGGCATGAGTACACGTCTTAATGAAGTTACAGAAAGAAGCACATCTGGGAGAAGCAGATGTGTGTCCCTCTCTTCCCCAGTGGCTTCTACTCTTTAAAAACCACTCTCAGTTTATTTACCGGCCTCTCTAGAACAGTCCTCAGAGGGATGCGAGTCACAGTCCTGACCTCCTTGCAGCCTCCCTCAGCTACAGTCACCTCTGAATTCAGGGGGACCTGGCTCAGCCCATGCTCCAGTTCACACTCACCCAGGAAGTCCTGTGCCAGCTCCCAGGCTGGTCCCAGTCAGTTCTGGAGGCTGCCTTGCTCCTAGTGGGTCTGCACTAGGCATTTGGTGGCCACCAGACAGAATAAGGATGGGGCAAGGGTGCGATAAAAACCAGGACCCAGGGCCTAGCCCTCCCTCCACTTAGCCTTCCTTTTGGAGGTAACGCAATTTTCTTCTACCCTGTTTACTACCATCCAAACACACAGGCATCTGGCAGAAACACCGGGCTCTCCTGTAATGTGTGGGAATTTACAAGTGCAAACGATACGCAGCCAGGACAGACCACAGATCATTCGTTCAGGGCATTTTCCTTGGCAGTCCCTGTGCAAAGTGCTTTGTATATATCATCACATACAGTGTTCAACACAACCCTCAGGGGTAACCATTCTTACGATATTCCATCTTCTGCAAAACAGGCTCAGAAAGAGCGAGAAGCCTGCTAAGGAGACACAGCTGGGGCACGGCAGAGTTGGGATTTGAACAGTGGAGGCATAGGACACACAGTCGTGAGCATGACGAGGCCCCGCCTCGGGAAGTGGACACTCTCAGCGGGCGGGGGGAGGCAGGCAATGAACAAGGAGGTTCACTCTGCACTCTGTCAGGTGGCCTCTGAGAAAGAACAGTAGGTGGAAGGTGGCATATAGGGCCTGCGAAGCACCAGGAGCTCTGCTGGGGGTCAGGATGGCCAGGATACTGGGCCCCAGAGAAGAGTAAAGTTCTCTGAGGCATGAGGTCTCTGGGCACCTGACAGGGCTGGCTGGGAGCTTCCAGAGGGAGGAGAGGCTAGGAGGTTGAATGTTCGGGTACCTAACATCCGGATAAAGGCTGAGACCTGGGGATATGTAGGGAAGAGACTGACATGGGATATTTAAAGCCCAAGAAAAGGTAAAGAGGAGGGCCCCTGGGACCCATCCCAGGTCTCCCCAGGAAGGAGGTGATATCTCATTTCCCAGAGACTAGAGAACTGGTGTCCTGGGTACAGAGCACGAGGGAACCAGTTTGGCACCACTGGTAACCAAGGCAAGAGGAAACTAATAGGTAAATGCCCAGATGCTCCCTGTGACCCTCCCCATCTTGTCTGAAGGCCCTGACCCTCAGCTACCCCCTGTCTTCAGTCTCACAGACAGGACAGGACAGCAGGGTCCCCACTCACCTCCCACTCGTCCTCTCCCTGGAGGCGCCTCCCTTCAGCTCCATACACCAACATTAACACCACCTTTCTTAACACACACAGGGCCACATCCACTTCCTCTCCTGCATGTGAACCTTCCAGGGATCCCCACTGCCTCAAGAAAAAAAAAAAAAAAACTTGGCCCAGAAGTCTATATTCTTCCCAACCTAGTCCCACCTAATAGCCAGCCTCCCCTCTGCTGCAAGCATTCCCCATTCCCACCAGGAAGAAGCTGGCATGCGCCATCTCTGCTGCTAAAACTGCTGTCGCCCTACTGGGCCCTGGGGGTGTGAGTTCCTGACCGTCTGCCTGGACTTGACAAGTAAGAGCCCAGACTTGGGACCAGGTTGTCGTGTTCATCGGTTCAGCCTGGTCTAACCTATATCTCAATGTGCCCATCTGCAAAATGGGCGGAATAACATCAGTGCTTATGTCGTAGTGCTGCTGTGGAGATTGAGTGAGTTAACACAACTCAAGTGCTTAGAAAGAGCCTGGTGCTCAAGACACGCTATTTACAAGTCTCCTCTCAGAGGCAGGGTCTGCGGCTTTCTCATCCTGGTTCCCAGTGCCTAACACATGGGAGATACTTGCTGAACGGTCCCCCAAACATCTAACACCAGAACCCAGGCAAAGAGAGAGGTGACACTGACAAAAATAAAGCCAAGTTATGGATGATGATGAATTTTGGTTTAGGACATGCTGAGTTCAAGGAGGTGGAAGGAGACTGACCAGGAGGACTGGCAGACAGGGACCCGTGACAGAGGGTAAAGCAGGAAAGAAATGCCTGAGAACTGTACACTATTCGCTGAGTGACTTTTAGTCCCCCCACCCAGGGCTGTATCATTTCTTTGTCCCCAGAGTCACCAAATTACTTTAACAGCAGAGAGAACTACCTTCCTCCAAGACCACCTGAGGGATGGGGCTGGCTAAGGTGGGGGGAACAAGTGGGAGACGGCAGGGTGGCATGCTCTACCTGTGTGTGGCCAGCCTGGTAGCTTCTCAGCTCCTGGGAAACCCAAGGCTCCCAGCCTCTGCACTCTACCGGGAAGAGCATGACCCGCCCCATCCCACAACCACACCAGCACCCAACTCCTATGGGTCCTCCCAAGCTCACATGCTCGCAGCCACTGTCCTGCTCCCTCCAGGCACAAGCTGTGCCTATTAGGCTAATGACAAGGGTGTGGGGGGTGGAGACCCAGTGGAAGTCTCAGAGTTGGCAGATCTCCATCGCCTGTGGTAAATGAGTAAGCGCCCCCCACCCCCATCATTCCAGGGCCAGCCTGGTGTGGGGAGGGGGCCGTCATAGCACAAGGGCCACATACTCTCTTCCTGTCCACAGTGGAACCTAAAGAGGACCTTAGGGGAAGTGGGGTGGCGCAGTCCATATCTTTTTGTTCCCTTAAGAGAAACCAGGTCTGTTCTTCAAATCTGGATTTAAGGTGATTTCCCTTTTACTTCCAGGAGAAGATACCAAGCAAAAGTAATGAAAGAAAAAAAAAAAAGACTGCAGGAGAATGCAGGCTGGAACCTGTCCTACAGAGGTAGACACAGCCTCACCTGGATGCCATTGCTTCTCCCAAGGAGAAGCCAAGAGCAGTCACCCCCATAAGCTGTCACCAACCCCCTCCACCCCAGGATCAAAGCAGAGAATGACACCACTTCAGACCCAGCAGGAGTTCCCCATAGAGAACTGTTTGCCAGTGAAATCTCCCCAGAAGCCTCAGAGGGAGAGGGTTTAAACCCATCCTGCAGAAGGCAGGTGGGAAATAGGCAGGGGCAACAGCACCCCACATGGGGAAGATCTCATATGGTGACTAACTGGCTTTTCTAGGCCATTGTCACCAATGCCGGAGAAATATTCCACTTTAAAAATAAATGTAAAGCAAAATCCAAAATTAACTCTCCCCAGATAACCCCTTTCCAAAAAAGACCACATCGTAATCCACATGTGGCCATTCGCATACAGTTTAACCCAAGGACATCTCTCTGTCCTGGATTGGGATACTTCCCAGGCCTCCACCCCACACATCTGGCACTTTGCAATCTTCTCAGTCCTCCCATGGACCCCAATTTCATGTCTTTCTCTAGGTGCCCCCAGGGCACGAGGGCTGCCACAGAATCCTTGTGCTTCTCACCCCAATCTAAAGGTGCTCGAAAACAAGTAACTTCAAGGTGTCCTTGCCACACAGACTGATAACAATAAATGCATACAGGGAGTCACTAGCGATATCATTCCTTGCTTTTCACGAACTTAAGAGTCAAAGAAAAAGTAACAGTAGTTAACAGAGCTGGACTAACATTGCTATTTACCTGCTGTGTAACTTGGAGCAAATTCATTCATTCACCCACCTAACAAATATTTATTGAGCACCTACTACTGACACTGTTCTCATTTACATTCTAGTTGGAGGGACTCAAAAATAATAAACACTGCTGAGGATGTTAAGGCCGCATGTTGGCACAATTTCCACCCATTCAGAAGGGAATTACCAGGTACAAAGAGAGAAAAGAGTTAATACCCATCAAAAGGCACTTGTTTGTAGCAAGCAGGTCCACAGAATGTTGAGTGAGATTCACTGCCCTGCTAAGATGGCTCAGTCGAGCACATGGAGTAGTAATCATCATCTAAAATATTCTTGCAGTTATTCTAGCACTGTGCTAAGCCATTTATCGAGCCGTGTTTGGGGCTAATTGCTGGTGATAAGAGCAACATAAATATACCGAGCCACAGCCTTGCCTGACAAGATTTTATATACCAACCACCAACCAAGTTCTCTTCCCATTACACGCCTGCAATAATTTTTAGTGGCCATCACTCTTTACTGAATCACCACAATAAACCCTTTCGATATAAACAACTCGCCTTTCAATATAGCCATAAATCAGACTCAGTGTCATCCCCATGATCCCTGTGCTGATGGAGGGAGACTCAGGGCAGTAGTTCTGAGCCCTGGAGCATGTCAGACGCACCAGGAGGATTACAAGATGCGGATGCCCTGCACCGACACCCCCCCCCCCCCGCCCACCCTCCCTTCCCCCAGATAAGCCTGGATACCAGAGTTATGTAAAAAGTCCTAGATGTGTCTTCACTTCCCACATATTAAGCTCTGTTGGGTTACTTGAGGTTAACCCACCCAGAGAGCTGAAGTCTTAGCCCTGGGAGTTTGAGGTGAAACAAGGAGCTGACACATGCACTGTAATGCACGGCAACCAGCTAAAAGAAGTTTACAACGTGTTACGGGAACTGCTATTTCATGGGACTGCTCTCAAAGGAATGAAGAATAATTTTTGGAATTTGTGTAGTTATCCATGCCCATATTTATTACCCTTACAGTTATACTTGCTTCCTGGTGAGTCTCTGGGGTCTTTCCCACACGTTACAGCTGGAAAGGAAGAGTGAGGAAGGCTCAGGAAGCAGGAAAAGACACCAGAGGAAAGACAAGAAGAAGACACGGGATCAAGGATGGGGTCAGGGGGCAAATGGGTGCAGGGGCCCCACCTGACATCACCAGAGAGACCAGTGGGAAATCCAAGAGAGGGAAGAGGGTACAGATGAAAAGCAGTGTTTCCTAGGGCCACGACCGCAGGCACATGGTCCCCTGCCAGTGGAGGACAAGCCCGTCCCGGTCCAGGGAGAGAGCACCATGAGGGACTCCTCTTGGCCAAGTCAGAAATCCCTGTGGGACCTGAGAATGGGAGCTGTCTGCCTTCTTCCCACGATGCTGGGCAAGTAGGAATGGGAAAGTCAATAGCAGTCAGTAAGTATTCAGGTATTAAAACAGACCCCTGCCTTCAGAACGCTGACTGTCAAGTAGAAAGATAGGCGAACACGCCCAGACACATTGCAAACCAGCATAAGTGTTACAAAGAAAAAGAAGAGGATGCTTCTGATTCAGATTCACAGGGTCCAGTGTTGCAAAGGCAGGGCCCCTGGAGGGGCACAAGCCTGCCCTGCTCACTGGGGTTCAGCTCTGGCACCACTCCTTTGGCAGCCTCCTCAGCTGAGATGTCAAGGCCAAGGTACTGCCTGCCGGTGGTACCGACTGAGAGCCAGTCTGGGGCAGACGGGTCCCTCCCGTGCAGCAGGGTGAATGAAATGTTTACAGGAAAAGGGACTTAGCCAGAGGAAGGCTGGGGACTTGGCTAAGCAAATAAGTACCTTTCCCATCCCTCAAAAGAAGATGTAAAAATAAAATCTTGAAAATCCTGGGGTGCCTGGGTGGCTCAGTCAGTTAAGCCACCTGGCTCTTGATCACAGCTCAGGTCATGATCTCAGGATCATAAGTTCAAGCCCCATGATGGGCTCTGTGCTGGGCGTGAAGCCTACTTTAAAATAAATAAATAAACAGGGGTGTGTGGGTGGCTCAGTCAGTTAAGTGTCTGACTCTTGATTTTGAGCCGGGTTGTGATCTCATGGTTCGTGATCTCATGGTTCGTGATCTCATGGTTCGTGGGATCGAACCCCGAGTCAGGCTCTGCGCTGACAGCACAGTGTCTGCTTGGGATTCTCTCTCCCTCTCTCTCTGCCCCTTCCTCTCTCTCTCTCTCAATAAATAAAGATTTAAAATAAAATCTTGAAAGTCCACTTAGCAAAAAGTGGCACTTAGGAAGGAGTTAACATTTTTCTTTAGTCTTCTTGACAGGAGGGACAGGGAGAGAGGCGAATGTGAAGCAGGACGTCCGGGGTACTTTGAAAGGTGTTGATGGTTGTGAGGAGCTGGGCTTTGAAGATACACGCTAGTAAGCGCTAACCTGCGCATCTACTAGATGCTCCTCTCCAGAAAGACCCTGGGTCTGACCTCCAGGGTGTATGTACCAAGAAGTGACCCTGATGTGTCCCCAGCGCCTCCTCCCTCCTCTCCACTGTTCCACTGACGCCACCAGAATAGTGGATACAAGGCAGCCTCACCCCCGAGCTGTGCTACTCACACATCCATAACCACTCAGGAGCTTTTCATTGGTAAACATCTGATCCCAGCCACCCCCTGAACACTTCAGGGCCGCCTTCCTTCACAGCATTGCAGGCTCAGGAAATGACAACTCACTGAATGCCCATCTGAGCCAGACACCATGAAGGAAGGACAAGCCATCATAAAGAAAACACCACGCATTCCAAAATCAAACCAAGACAACCGCGTGAGAACAGCTGTGCCTTCTCTAGCTTCTGCACGCACCACCAAGTAGATGCAGGGCCGGGTCCAAATGAGAAAAGAGCACTGGATTTGGAGTCAGAGAGTCGAATTTATATCGCAACTCCTAAGCTAACTAACTAGCTGTGTAACCTGAATGAGGTCACTTAACCTCTCTGAACCCCTTCTTCCCCCTCTCCAACACAATCACAGGTCTGTAACTATGAGTGCATTACCTTGTTTTGGCCACCAAACATCAGATCCCGTCAATCAGGAATCTATTATCCCCAGGTAACAGAAAGGAAACACTGGGAGAGGCAGAGCAGCTCAGCCAGGATCATATAACCAGGGTTTTCCCCTGGGCCTCTGGACCCCAAAGCTCACGTCTGCCCCATCCTAACCCATCACCTCCTTGGAACCCTCATGAGCAGCAAAGGAGATCACACATGGTAAAGTCCTTTGTTATCTATCAAATGCTGGTCAAATGGAAAAGCGAGTCTTTTGGCCAGTGTTTGAGCCCACTGTCTAGGAAACAGAAAGCCATACGTTTTTAAGAAGTAAAAATTTTAAAAATAGTTATAGAGATAGATAGAAGTGTATATCATATATAAATTACATGTATATTTCTATAACTATATTTAAAAAATTTTTATATTCCATGTCATTCCTCTACTCCAGCAACCACTCTACCTGTGACAAATGTTATCAGGTAAGAGTGAGGGACCCAGGCAGGACTAGGTTCTGAGCCTGCCATGCAGTCCTGCACCTGATGTATTTTTGCCCCAGTAAGCAGCCTCTCTCCCTCCCTGGTGTTCAAGTCAAACCTGGGTTAGATTCCCTGCTTCTCATCTCTCAATCTGGATTCCTCATGGGAAAAGATCCTGAGACAAAGATTTGAGTAGAAGTGGTTTTACATGAGAGGTAACCCCAAGAAACACTAGAAGGGGAATGGAGAAGACAGCTGAGGAAGGGAAATAAACCCAGAGAAAAGGAAAGCTATCAAGTCCATTCCCACCGTGGGCAACTAGAACTGACTGTTTCCTGGGACAGGGAGCCAATGGAGAACACACGTTTCAGAGCTGGAATATTCATCCACCAGCACACAATAATCATTGGCTGAGGGCTGCTCTGGAGGTGGAAACCCCCAACACTTCTGACCTGCCCCACGGGCCAGCAGAGAGGCTCAGGGCCGGAGAAAGCCCTCAGGTCCTGACAGCTGGCAAGAGTGGAGAGGTACATGCCCAGGGAATATGGGCAGGCACTGAACCATCTGCTATGCTCACTAGCTGTGTGACCTTGAGGACATTACTTACCTTCTCTTATTTCCTTTTCTGAGCCTTGAAATGGGGATAAGAATGTCTTTCTCACAGGGATGATATTATAATTCAATGAGGTCATGTATGTAGGGGATGAGCTCAGTGTCAGACATGCAGTAAACACTCAGTACAAACTCATGGTTTATAATCAATAATCTTTAAGGGCTTCCTCCTCTGGGAGAGTTGAAGTGGGGGAAGGAAACAAAGAAAATTTGGAGAAGGATGATCTGGAATGACCCACTGCTAACTCCCCTGTGGGCACCAATGCAATCAGTGCCTTAAGTGAAAGGTCTGGAAAGACATTCGATGGACCCCAGACCCTCCAAAGGTCATTATTTAGGAGTCCAACCTGATCCAATGTCTAATGACAGCAAAAGGCCCTAAAAGAAACTAAAACTAGATTAAAAGAGGTGTCTCCCTGGTGCCTTCCATCATTTCATTTCATAAAGGATTTCAGACCCAGATGGGGAATGAGACTTTAAAACAGGCAGCCAGACAGTGCGGGCTGAGAAACCTTCTTGAGGGAGGAAAGGCCCCAAATAAATGTCCCTGTCTAGATTACTTTACCCAAGCCTATCCCAGAGGCCCATCCCTAAGAAATTTCTAGGCTGCTCCCAGCCCCCTGAAGCAGTGCAGCCTAAAGTGAGTTCCAACAAACACTAATGACCCTTGTTATGCTCCTTAACGAACAGATTCAGGGGTCAAACATGCTTGATAAAGGATTCACGCAATATCCTCCTCTTGGCAAATTTTAGTGCCCATTAACATGTTCAAAG